GTACCCATTGAGTGTGAGTGGTGAGGGCTGAGAGCCGAGTGGTTGAGCTGTTGTGACGAGTTAAGTATGAGAGGCTGTACTGCTTTTTATTTGTTGTTGCACTTAGTTGTTATCGGTCATTGATGTGAAATTCTCTGAAAGGTTTTTATATCCGGATTACATGAATTTTAACTGTATAAAACTGATTTGACTTAAACTACCAGATTTGATAGTATGACTATTCTTTGCTGGAATTATTGAAAATGAACTGTACTGTATAGCTCGTCACTGCTTCTCAGTTCCTTATTTATTTATGTTACTTGTTGAGTTGGTTGTACTCATGCTGCACCCTGCACTATGTGCAGATCCAGGTGTGTTTGATCACGGAGATCGTTAAGTTCGGGCGCGATCGAGTACCGGAGACTACGAGGTAGCTGTCGGCATTTGTAGGACCTTGTCTCTCCTTCTATATTTCTTTCTGTCTTGTATTGATACTTAGACACTGGTTGTATTAGTTTGGTTATCTAGACGCTCATGACTTAGTGACACCCCGATGTCGGGCTATTTTTTCGCACTTATGTTTTATTTGGATTTTACCCCGTATTTATGAAAAAACTCCGGTTATTTTAAATGTCTTAATTCACTTCTGTTGAATTTTGAAAGTGTTTTGGAAAGGTCGGCTTGCCTAATACCACGATAGGCGCCATCACGACGGTTTAGGTTTTGGGTCGTGACTGATTTTTTCAACTTTCTCTCTCTCTTCCTTCTCTCTCTCTTCGAGCAACTCAAGCCTAGTATTGATGGCCGGCGACAAAGAAGAATCTCTCTCTTTCTCTCCAATTCTCTTTCAGATTTTTTCTTCTTTCTCTCTCTCTTCCTTCTCTCTCATCGAGCAACTCAAGCCTAGTATTCCTTCTCTCTCTGCATACAAACATTAAAATAGAATAAAATATAAATAGTGAATATATTTAATTTTAAAATACAGTAAAATACACTGAATACAAATAGAAATATAGTAAATACAACCAATGAAATATAGTGAATACAGTAGTAATAACATATATTAGCAATAACTAAAATACTGTTAATACAAATACATTTGAATACACTAAATATAAAATGGCGCGTACCGTAAATACAAACATTGAATCTAATGAATGCAACAGTAAAAAAAAAATATTGAAACACACTAAATACAAAAGTTAAATACAACAGTTATATACAACTGAAAAATCATTCTAATTAATTGGGTTGATAATGAGGCATGTTAGAATTGATTTTATTGAGTTATATTAGGAGTGTATCATGCTAATTGATATTATTTTTGTTATTAGACAGCTGGACATACCTATTTTTAAGGTGATTGTTGTTACTGTATTCATGAATACATGGCGCCAATACATGTGAATACATGCACGTACAACTGGACTGCCTGATTTTAGGTGCTTTTTGCTGCTGTATTCATGAACACAACAGTGCAAATACATGTGAATACATGCGCGTACAACTGGACTGTCCTGATTTTAGGCGTTTTTTCCTGCTGTATTCATGAATATAGTAACCCAAATACAACGAATACACTACTGTAACAACTGAATAGTAGATATAGAAAGTAATTATGTATATGGTAATTATAGAAAGTTAACAGCCACTAAACAATAGCGGTTTCTGAAAAGTCCTCTTGTTTTAAACCCCCCAAAGACCTCTTTAATCTTGTAATCAGTCAAATTTTCTAGATTTATTTTTTTAAAACCCAAGTTAGTAGGTTGTTTTCGAGAAATAAGCAAAAGCAAGTGCTCATCCAAGCCGTATTTACGGAAGTAGCAGGGAACTTGACCGTCAAGTTTGGAAAAAGCTGGTCAAGCGTGTTCTTAGATTAAGTTTAAAGATAAAATGATGTTCAGTTGCAAAGAGGCTACATAGGTTGAAGGTGCAGAGAAACTTCATTGAACGTTATAGTTTTTGCTAGGGGTGTTCAAACTGAACCGAAATCAAATCGAGAAGTCAAATCAAATCAAGTAAAAAAACCAGATTAGATTTGATTTGATTTGAGTTGAGTTGGTTTGATATTGAGTAAAAAAATTCGAACCAAACCACAATATAAATATATAATTTTTTTATATATACTTTTAAGACTTTATATAGAATTCCCTTAAAAAAATGTCTAGAAATATTTGGGATCCTCTCTTGGGATGTAATATTTAATAGAATTATAAAGTACATTTATGTTTATTTACTTTAAATAATGGATTGTATCACTTTCTTATCAAGCGTTATTGAAATGCGTCAATCATCTTTTTGTTTTTCCATATTTATATGCCCGGGATTTCTTATATCTTTTCCGAATTTGAAATGGTATTTCGATAATTTAAAATTAAATAGAACATATCATTATTTAGGTATCATATTGATTTTTATATTTAATTATTAAATTCGGTTAACCTTGAAAGCGTACATCAATAAAAAATATTATTAGACAACTAAGAATAACTATCATGTGTTACTAAAAAAATTCTCTCATAAAAATATTTTGATAGATCATATGTTTGATAGTTTTTTTTTTAATTTTTACTAAATATATATATTAACTTGTCAAAACTTTATCTATAATTTTAAGTAAGATTGAAATAATATTCATCTCAAAAAGACCGAAAAATCTGAAAAACACAGAAAATCCAATAAAATCGAACCAATCCAAACTGATATAGTTAGTTTGGTTTCATTTTGATAAAATCTGAACCAACCAAATCCATATACACACCTAATTTTTGCTATGCAGGAAATAAGGCCATGGGTTTTGCAATGAAGAAATGTGGTGGTGGAAGGGTGAAATAAGGTGATCGTAGAGATTTTGGAGTGGAAAGATAATGTGACGCATAGAAAAAGAGAGTGAAAAAAATACTGAACAAGAAAAGAGTAAAAAGAAAAAGAAAAGAAAAAAATGTGTAAAAAGTAAGAAGTGAGCTCCCTGCCTTCCACTAGTATTTTCTTTGTCTTTTTTCACCATCTCCCCTGATGTGATAAAAAAGTAAAAATATGATGGTAAGAGGTCATAGGACAAGTATAAACTACCTTCCATCATACAATATTAGTTCCTCTTTGAGTAATGTAAAGGTTAAAAGGTCGCCCATAAAGTTTAGGCATATAGTTGACTTTTTCAGACAAATTTAAGAATAATATATATGAACCATTGTATATCTTTCAAAAATTATAGTACTTTTTTTTTAGTTTTGGAGGACATGATCTAGGACTAACTGTTTAAATTAATCCATTTATGGAACACACTAAACTAAACTAAGATGTTAAGTTCTAACTAAACAAGAACTAGCTACAAAGAAAATTAACATTACGACATTCTGATATATTAATCTTTGTTAATTTTCTTTGTTAGTGACCTAGTTCTATTATAAAAGCTAAATAAGGGAGGTTCCCCCATTCCTGTAATAGTCTAATATGCACTTAGTACAAACACAAAACTCTTATAGGAGATCCCTCTTCTGAGTTTGGGTCTGTTGATTTGTTATTTGAATTTTCGAGTTTGCCATTTGTTCTTTATGCTCTCCTGGTAATAACAACTTTGTTATATATAGAAAAGAGGGTCTTGATAAAGAAAGACGAAAAATAGAAAATATTAGGAGAATCAAATGATGAGAAAACAAGTGAAAAGTGTGCAAGATCATATGATAAATTGGTCAACAAGCAATACATACTTTGTTGTGACGGGACTTTTTAAATATTAGCTTTGTTAACTAAAACAAGGCCTTTTCAACAATAACATTATTAATTAACTTAAGGATAGAGAATTATTATGCTAGTCAAGTTCTTCATAAAGTTCTAAACAAAAGTGTAACATTGTAGTGACTCTATATGGATTGTCCATCTTTAAGGAATTGAAAGCATTCAATTTAAATGTGTATGTATTTTAACTAATGCAAGGAAGCTTGTGAGAGCATAAAGCAAAGTTTTCACTATAACTATCTAATAGATAACTAAAACAATAGTAGCATTGAACGTTATATATAGTGTGACACCTTTTTTTCCCTTAAAGGATGGAGTTAGTGTTTTTAATGTCAGAGGGATTTCACTTTTGAAGTGACAAAAAATCATTTAAAAAAAAATTATTTAGAAATTGCCACTTAACAATGGATTTTGTTGTGTTAGGTCACCTTATTAAAACAAGTTTATTTGAAAAGTAAAATATTTTCCTTTGGAAAATGAAAATAACCCTATTTACTAATTCACGAAAGAGAATTTCGACTAGAAGATTCTATAGATTGATTGGGGGAATTTCATATTTCTATTTGCTCTCGAACAATTACGAATTTGTACTCCATAATCTATTGGAGAACTATCTTAAGACATAAACACAGTAAGTTTCATAATCTTTGCGCCTCCAATTTCTTGCGGCTCTAATTTTATCTCCATTAATTCTTGTCACGATAATTTCACCTTCACGAAAAATGACAAATGAATAGGCTGCCTTCAGGCCTATTCCAATAGGCTAGTGTAACTACAATAAATTAGACTTTTTGCGGCGACACAAGTTGCTACAAAAGTCCTGAAAGTTGCTGCTAGTTGTTTATAGTGGCGACAATTAGCTTGCCGCAAGTAAATCCATTACTAAATGTTTCTTGTAGCGACATATAGGAGTCGCCACAAATGGTATGAATTAGTGGCGGCTAGATACGCCACGAAAGTTAAACATATACGCCACAAAAAGTAGTTCCCCGAAATAGATTTTAACCAAGTCGCTGCGGTAAAATGACCTTTAGCGGCAACCCTAGTCGCCACTAAAACTATTTAACCATCAGTGGCAACAACTATGAAAATGCCTAGTAGCGACTATACTTGCCACAAAAACTGTTAAACTATCAAATCATAAATGATGTTTAGAGGCGATTGTAGTCACTACAAAAAGCATTATCACTTCTGTGGAAACTCTCAATTCGCCACAACTAATCTTTTGTGACAAGGTTCTGTCGTCACTAAAACTTATTCATTCAGCAACTATAATGAACACAATTATACTACATTTCTAGTGGCAACCAATTGTCTAAATTAAAATACAAATATATTTCTATCAATTGTCTACAAGTATTAAGAGAATCAAATATTATCCAACAAACACCCAAAAGCATTTCTCAAACAAAATATTAAAATTACTTCCACTACTAAAAAGTCAATTACAATATAGACTACACAATACTTTATTGTACATTTTACGCCATTGTTTATGAACCTTGGACCTTGGACCTGTTATTAAAGTAAAAACACACACATCACTTTGACAATTCTCACAATTTAATGCAAATAGTAAAAGGGGTGACAATAATCCCAAAACTTAAATGAAAGATCAATTCTAAATAGAACTAGGCGTGTACATTGTGTGAGAGTTATTCTATCAGAAAGAAGATTGTTCATATATCAATACATCTGAAATTCAATGTGCAGTAATTCCACCAAATAAACAAATCATGTGTTGCTCAAGTGGGATGTATCTTAAGAATGATATTCAACAGATGATACAGGGTAATGTTATAAATAAGTGCATAAGACTTGTTTACAATTTTATCACCCTAAATCCTGGAAGGATATAGCACAATCTTGATATTATCACTGTCAAAATATTTTCAAGAAAAGACACCAGAAATGGTAAACTTCTTAATGGCAGAAAATGGACCTAGTTCGATGGAACTTGCTAGTTTTATGCTTTAGTGTAACTGATGTTTATTGCTGTAACACAAGGGTCAAAAACTTTAGAAGAAGCTAACACATTAGATCTGAGAAGCCTCTTTCAAAGTTCCATATTTAAAAGAGCATGTAAATGACGCAGGCTTACAATATCTTATCCATTCTAACAAAAAACACAAGTATCAGTCATTACTAAAATTCACTTCTAAAGTCTATTCAGGTTGATTCAGATGAAAAAGCCACATATTGAAGATATAGAATCCAATTTCCTTCTTTGATCATACCAGGTCATGAAGAGTACAAAAATATTAGCAGTACCTGTTGCATTCGGGTCATGAAAGCAGCTTATTGTTCTATATCCACTTGTTCACGCTCCTCTTCCAACCTCCTTTGCAACTCCTGTTCCATATTCCTTCGCAAATCGGCTTTTCATGCTCTAAAAAGCAGCATAGTGCTGATCACAAAGGCTTGCAACTTATGCTTTCGCAGCCCGCCACAACCTTCAGATTTATCCTAAACACAAATGTAATATTACGTTTGATATTCATGCCAAATATAGTCAGGCTAAGCACCGGTTCTACTTCAATACTGATTCTATTTACGAAATTAACGATACAAGCATCATGAACTTTATTTGTGAAACACTTGGAACAACTGAATCATGAAAATTTATACAATTGTATGATAAAAAATGCAGCGAACTAAACCATGACACTCAATTAGACATCATTATTACCATGAAAAGTATCTCTTTCTCTTCCTAGTTCCTAATCTTACTACATTTCTTGACATCTTACCGTGTTATCAGTATTTAGAAAGTTAACTCCTCCTTCAAAGAATTGATATATAACTAATAAAATAAAAAGTAAATAACCATCTGGAATTGGAGCCAAATGCAAAAATATGCAGGTCCCATCACTAAACACCTGTAGCTGTTTGATTAAATTCATATTCAATACTTTTCAATGTTTGAAACCATTAAAGTAAGAAACTCAAACTATATTTGGGAAACAATATCAAATAAAAAGTAGGACAAGTATTTTCTACTTGTAAAACTAGAAAAGGTTCAGTTCAAAAGCAGTAAGCAGGTTCCATCTTTCTGTTTCACTTTCCTACATAAATAAATGCTAAAGTCTGTTTTAATTTCCTATTTGATATACCTGAGTAGTCAAATATGGAACAAACACAAATACATCTCAATAACACACTACAAGAGAATCAATATCTAACAGCATCGCAATTGAGTGACTCAAGTCATATTTGACAGTATCAAAATCCATGCATATCATAATTCGGTGCAAAATCCTAGCTCAAAATGAGAGCCACATACTAGGGAAACAACATAAAGATGGTATCATCATTAAGGATGTTGAAGTTCCCGGAGAGAAAAAAATGAAACCTTTGAATGTTCTTCGAAATAACCTGATTTCATAAAAGAATATCAATTATATAAGCTGAGTTTAAGATGTGACTCACATGCTCTCCTTCCTGAATTACATACAAGTATGCCCTTTTTCTACATACACAGAGAAAGTACAAAGAGTAGAATATATTAGGCTGAAGTGAAGAATGCTCTTAAGTGAATAAGGCAGAGATTAAACCAAGAAAAAATGCTCATGTTCCGGAAATTAAACACTTCAGGAAATTTCTTAACACTCAGATACTTAAAAAGCAACAGAATCCATCTTCAAAGCTAAAAACCCAGGTAAATTTAACCTAAAAGAAGCCCTTTTCTTTGAAAAACTTACAAAATTCGAGATACCCAGTTTAATATCAAACATTCAATCACAATAACAACACCAAAAGGTCTAAAATTTCAAAAAAAAAAAAAAACTTTCAGCACATCCAAAGAAAGAGATAATTGAGAGACGACCGTCAAGATCGAGAATCGACAAAATAGGGGAAATAAAAATAGAGATAGATAGACATTGTACCTTCAAAACTTCGAACGGCTTAGAACTGCTTACCCTCGCAATGATTTTCAAACTTTGAACTTTCCTCCTTCCTTCTTTGAGTTGTCTCTACTGTGATTTGAGCGATTTGAGAGATTGTGAGGTGTTTGAGCAGAGAAAATATTGAGAAATTCACAGAGAAGAAACGCAGCAAAGAACTAGTATTGGAGCAAAGAAACCTAGGGAAGAGAGCATTTGATATTTTTGGATATTCTATTTAGTACTTTTTTTTATTTAAAATAAAATCAATTATTCTATTCGGTGAAAGGTCAAATATACCAATGTATTTTCGAAAATGGTATAAAAATATCTCTCGTTATACTATTGGGCTATATGTACCCTTCTCGTCATACTTTGGAATAAATATACCCTTATTTTGGATAGAGTGGCACAGGTCAGCACCAGATTAAAACGACCCATTTCTTTTTTTTACCCGATCCGTTTTAAAAAACTCACCACCCGACCTATTTTAAAATTCAGTTTTTTTAAAGTATATATTTTGTAAAAATTGAATTTTTTTTTGTAAAAACTGAAAAAAAAAAAAAAGAAATTTGCAAAATATATATTTTTAAGTCTTTTCAATTTTTTTAAAGTATTTTTTTTGTAAAAACTGAAAAAAAATATTTTTTTAAAAAAATGCTTTAAAAATTGAAATATATATATTTTGTAAAAATTAAAAAAAAGAAAGAAATTTGCAAAATATATATTTTTAAATCTTTTCAGTTTTTTAAAGTATTTTTTTTGTAAAAACTGAAAAAAAATATTTTTTAAAAAAACTGAAAAAAAGACTCTCCTAAAGCACTGGACTACATATGCATTAGTTTTAAAAAAATAAAAATATTTTGCAAAATCTTTTTTTTTCAGTTTTTACAAAAAAAATACTTTAAAAAACTGAAAAATATATATTTTGAAAATTCCTTTTTTTCAGTTTTTACAGAATATATATTTCTCAGTTTTTAAAGCATTTTTTAAAAAAATATATTTTTTTCAGTTTTTACAAAAAAAAAACTTTAAAAAAACTAAAAAGACTTAAAAATATATATATTTTGTAAATTCTTTTTTTTTTCCAGTTTTTACAAAAAAAAAATTATTTTTTACAAAACATATGCTTTAAAAAAACTGAATTTTAAAAAGGGTCGGGTGGTGGATTTTTTAAAATGGATCGGGTAAAAAAAAGAAATTGATCGTTTTTATCTGGTGCTGACACGTGACACTCTATCCAAAATAAGGGTATATTTCTTCCAAAGTATGACGGGAAGGGTATATATAGCCCAATAACGAGGGGTATTTTTAGATCATTTTCGAAAGTACAGGATATATTTGACCCTTCGACGTATTCTATTTGGAGCGACCTGTTGTCCTTTTGAGGCGACTATTTACCAGTCGCTGCTAGAACTATGGAGCCAAAATTATGTTCTTAGCGGGAATGTAAAATTACCTAAAAACCTCGCCACTAAATATTTACCTTCTGCAGCGACTTTTTAAGTCGCCAAGTCGCCAGTATAATATTTGTTGCAATAAATAGAGTCGCCACTAAATGTCGCCGGAAAAAGTCCCTTAAAGAATTTTAGGGATGCAATTTTAACCATTTTATTAGTGTTAGGAATTTATGAAAAAAATTTGTAAACTTTGAACAACACTAGATTCCTTGTTATGAATTTTATGAATGATTTTTTCAAGAATCTCATGTAGGAACTGAACCATATTTGCTTCTTCATGAAATAAATTATGCCATGAATTTACCTCCAAAATAATTTCAAAATTAGTCTATCTTCTTCTATACTTAAACTTCTACTGCATTATAAGATTTAATGCATTCATTAGATAGCACAAATATTTTTTTTGCAAAAAGAAAAAATATAGGATAAATATCTTTCCTTTTTCTTATTTCTTTGATTTTTAATATTCATAATACACATTCGCAGTAGCATCAATTCCCTTTGGCTATTCATCCTTCATTAGAATAAAATTGACTTAATTTTTATGAAAAAGACATCACTTAGCCGCACTCAAACTTATAATAAAGGTACTTAATTACTAGATAAGTTTAATCATAATAAACTCTTAAATCATTCAAAACGAAACAAATTCTAGAAAGAAAACATCAGGAGATCGAACTCAAAACCAAAAACAAAACAAAAAAGATCACAAAAAATAGGAGATACCTAGACAGTTTTACTTCTAAACAAAATAAATAGGAAACACTGTTATAAATCAATCAAAGGCCCAAGCATTCTCTTGACGGATTTGCTCCTCTTCTTCAGGGGTAAAATCATTCTTGATATTAAATGCTTTACGTATTTCCTCTGGCGTTTTCCCTTTAATCCTATCAGCAGTTTCTTGACACAATATATCCAATAGCTCCTTATCATTAAGATAATTAGCAGCTAAAATTAGATCATACAACTCTGAGTAATTCAGCACCTTCACAAAATTCTTGTCAAAATCCTTCAACTCGTCCCCGGAGACGCCCTCCTCGGAGTGTTTTTTCCAGTATTCGACCACTTTGGCCATTGTTTTACTGTCGACATTAGGCAGAGGAATGGCGTTTGAAGCGCAATCATCTTCCACCATATTTTTGATGGCTTCTGACCTCACGGCCACTGCCTTGTCAAGTTCGAATTCCTCGCCATCTCTTGTCTTTAAGACTAAGAGTTTCTTGGAAGACATTGTGAAGGTGAAAAATCTGAATGGAGTGTTTTGCTTTCTTGAGAGAGCTTTGAATGATTTCAATGCATGAGGAATTGAAGGGCTTTGGTTTGTTTTTATAGAATACTACTAGGGTTTTTAGTATCCTAGTTGAAGTAGGAAGTCAAAACGACAAAAGAAAATATGGAAAAGTACATAAGCAGCTGCAAACTAAATTTGCATAAACCATGTCAGTGTAGGAAAAGTATTCTTACATAAACCATATCAAATAAGGAAAGGGGAGTGTTTTTCTTTTATAAATATTTTTCAAATACAGTACTACTTCGTAGATAAATAAAAAAACCAAATAAATACTTCTAGGTTTAAAACCGCCTAAAAATGTTAGAGATTGAAGGAAAAAATACATTGTTTGTTTATTCCTAGTAATATAATTAGCACAAATCTATCCCAATTCACACGATTCTGGTTCCATTTTATGATATTTTAAAAGTGCAACATTATATTATTACTAATATTAATTTACAGGAGTGTTATTTTTACGGGTAATTTAGTTAAATCTATTTAATTCACGAAATTTAAATTTGGATATGATGTTTTCCTTGACCTTTTTTCTTTTATCTTTGACACACCCCTTAAGAAAATACTAACTTCTAAAAAAAATAGGCGTTTTGACTAAATTACTCATAATTAAAATTTGTATATTTTTAACTTAATGCATTGGGATAATTAAATAAGGACAACAACAACAACCCAGTATAATCTCACTAGTGGGGTCTGGGGAGGGTAGTGTGTACGCAGACCTTACCCCTACCCTGGAGTAGAGAGGCTGTTTCCAAATGACCCTCGGCATCCTTCCCTCCAAAAACTCCCCACCTTACTGTTGGGGTAACTCGAACTCACAACCTCTTGGTTGGAAGTGGAGGGTGCTTACCATCAGAGCAACCCACCTTGTCAAAAATAAGGACAAATTTTGAAAAAAATAAAGTTAATTCCTTCTTGATTATGTAAAAGACCACTTATTATGGACGAAAGAGAGAACTATTTTACCATTAATTTGTTGTTGGCTTCTCACATCTGTTCATGATTCCAAGATGAAAACACATAACACTCTGTAATATTGATTTGGCTGACGTATACATTATTTTTCGACTCGTATATTGAATCCCTTTGCTTAGATGACCAATTCACTACTAGAAAATCGTAAATTTTCGACTAAAATTTCAGACGAAATCGGTCGGAATTTTAAAAAAAATATCAATTATATTTTTTAAAAATATTTTCGACCATATTTCCGACAAAATCTGTAACGACCCGACTGGTTGTTTTGAGTATTACAGTCTTGTTCCTCCATTTACTGCTTAATTTATTCTTTACAGTGGTTACGTGACTTGCCGGGGTAATTGGTTCGGGTCCGGTGAGGTTTTGAAATGAATTAACACACATAGTTGTAACGAACCGTCCGGTCGTTTAGAGAGTAATAGCCCCGATATCCTATTTACTGCTTCCTCTTTCTGCTTATGTGACTTGCCGGGAGTCTTTGGTTTTGTTTTCGGAGCGTTTTGGGACACTTAGTCCCTAAAGTTGTAGCTAAAGTCTAAGATTTTGACTGTAGTTGGAACTGTATGAAGACGACTCCGGAATGGAGTTTTGTCATTTCCGTTAGCTCCGTTGGGTGATTTTGGACTTGGGAGCGTGTTAGGATTGTGTTTTGGAGGTCTGTAGCTAAATTAGGCTTGAAATGGCAAAAGTTGAAATTTTGGGAAGTTTGACCGGTAGTGGACTTTTTGATATCGGGGTCGGATTCTGATTTTGGAAGTTGGAGTACGTCCGTAATGTCGATTATGACTTGTGTGCAAAATTTGAGGTCAATCGGACGTGGTTTGATAGGTTTCGGTATCTGTTGTAGAAGTTTGAAGCTTCAAAGTTCATTAAGTTTGAATCGGAGGGTGATTTGTGTTTTTAGCATTGTTTGATGTGATTTGAAGGTTCGACTAAGTTTGTATGGTATTTTAGGACTTGTTGGTATGTTTGGTTGAGGTCCCGGGGGCCTCGGGTGTGTTTCGGATGCTTAACGGATTGAATTTGAACTTATGCAAATTGCTGAAGTTTTCTGATTTCTGGTGTTTTCGCACCTGCGATGGGGAGACAGCTGGTGCGGACTCGCACGTGTGGAATGGAGCTCGCAGATGCGGCCCTGGTCTGGGTAACCAGTGGTCGCAAGTGCGAGAAAAGGGGTGCAGAAGCGGGAGCCGAGTGGTTGAGGAGTTCGCAGAAGCGGACCATTGTCCGCAGGTGTGACCACCTCATCGTAGAAGCAGTCCCAGGCCTCTTAAGTCATTTCCGCACCTGCGATGGAAATTCTACAGGTGCAGCGTCGCAGGTACGACTATGTGATGACCCAAAATGTCATCTTTAAATTTAATAAGTAATTATGTGTTCTAAGACCTTAAAAAGCACCATTTATCATTCCTCGACTTGCGTGCACAGTGCGTAAAATTTTTCAAAAAGTTTTCATGTAAAAAATGGATTAAAATGTGAAATAGAGCTTTAA